TCTGCTGCAGGTGGCATGGCTTTGTTCCAAAACTTATGGTGTCTGCATTGTGATTCTTGCACTGGGGTTTACCATAAATCTAACAGCATCCTTTTGTACCATTAGTATGTCCAGTAACATAGGATTTGTCAGGTTGTATGGTCTGAGAGGCAGGGCTGCTTGTACCACTGCTGGGACCTACTGCAAAGCCATTTCTACTACTCTCGGCCCCACTCAAAGCTGGCAGCATTTCATGTTGTGCAGCATGAGTCTTGGCTTATGCTCAGTTGTGGAATATGCTGTCTCTATGATGTACTAAAGAGGTCTCCTAGGCTGTGTGCTTCCCTCTTCACGGTGGGAATAGCAAGTGCAAGAAGCAGTAATTTGTCCTGGACTTTGACGGGGGTGTCTTAGAATGCCCTAGATACTGGACCCTAAAATTTTACGAATGTGATTGGTCGTTGAAACTTCTGAGAGTTTCTCTCTCCCCTCTGGAGCTCTTTGGTCTCACCAAACCCTGCCATGAATAATTACTTCTTCCTTATCTTCTCCAATTAGCGTGATGTTATCAATATAGTAGATGAGTGTGATGTTCTGCAGGATGTCCAGGCACTTTATATCTCTTCAGAGGGAAAGACAGCTACCATAGTTTTGGACTGAGAAATGTAAATGTGTGGTCCATGGAGGAGCTGCCCTAGAAGCACTGGGTCTGGTCTATCTCCCAAAAGCTTTACGAGGGTGTTAAGTTCTGTATGCTGGAAGTTTCTTAATTGATAAACTTATGCTCCACCTCCTTGATCATGCACCCTCATACTCCAGTGCCATGCATGGTCTCAGCTCCTGCTGGTTAGATTCTACAATTCCTTTGAGATATCATTCCTTTCCTTCCTTATCAGGCCCAGTACATCTATGGCCTGGTTTTGCTGTTGCTTAAGCCTATGTATGGGCCTAGGTACCAGGAGGGAGGGAAGGTGGAGGGAAAATCCTGGGAGAGTTCATGTCTTGCTGAGGAAAAGCCTCTGCACTGTCTTCAAAATATTGGGGAATGCTAGTCATTAAGGAATCTGAGGACTCATGATTTTTGGTGTTATCAGTCCCATCCTGTGTGTCATGGTTCCATTTCCCAACCAGGGCCCTGACCTTGGCATAGAAAATATGTATTGTTAAAGAGTTTAATGTTTTTTGGAGCTCTGCTACTCTTGATATTAAGTCCTAGTCCTTGCCATCAGCATTCTCTATCTGCTCACTGTAGGAACAGAGAGCCTCTTTCAATGCTACCAAAAAAGGCATTCTGGATTTCACACTTATCTTTTAATTGGCAATTATCTTTCTATCATCTTTTTCTAGAGCATCAATAAAGACTTGTAACTGTCACAAGTTTTCTTTATCTCTATAATTATTATTCCTATATCTCTATAATTACTATTTCCCCCATATTTTTCGAATGGTTGATAAAGCTAAGGCACTTCTTTCCACTGGAATATGATCCAAGTTCACTCTTGGTGAAGTTTTAACAGTTGCCAGGAACTATCTGTGTTCCACTCTCTGGAAATGGTAAGGTATTCATTACTAGCTTGACAGCTTTCAAATCCCATTCACGGTGACTTTCTTGAATCATTCCTCACACCAAATGTCACATGTGCGTTTCCTTGATACCAAACTGTGAGATAAATGTTAGCATGCTGAGGACTTAATAAGAAGTGCTATTTTGGGCCAGTATTTCATCAGATATTCTTTCTGTCCCGCTATGTCTTGATTCTCCTTCTTGGACTCCAATTACACATACATTAGACCACTTGATAGTGTCCTACAGATCTCTAAGGCTATCTTCATATTTTTAAAATCTCCTTGTGTTCTTCACCTTGGATAAACTCTATAAATCTTTTTTGCAATTTCATTAATCGTTTCTTCTGTAACTTATAATCTGATGTTTAGACTGTCCAGTGAATTTTTTCCCAAATATTGTACTTTTTAGTGTTAAAACATTCGTTTATTTTTTGTCATTTTCATTTCTCTGCTGATATGCAGCAATATCTGCTGATATTCTCTGTTCATTCTTATAAATATCCTTCACATTCTTAAATATAGTTATATAATAACTACCTTAAAGCTCTTTTCTCTTAATTCCAACATCTGGATTTTCTTGAGGTCTGTTTCTATGTACTGGAGAATTTTGAACAGATGAGTGATGTACTGTGAAATCATGATTTTAAAGTACTACTCTGATTGCAATGTGGTAAGTGGCCTTTCGGGGTACAAAAATCAACAAATAGGCACAGTCCAAGAGGATAGTGTTTTAGTCAGATGAGGGATGATGGTGGTTTGGCCTTGGGTGATAGCACTGGTATGGATGAGAAGTTTTGGATTTTGATGATCAGGTCTTGTTGATAGATTGGAGGGAGAGAGAAAGAGGAATAAAGGATAAGCTCATGGTTATTGTACTTAGTGACTAAAATGAGGTTGACATTTGCTTACATGCTAACACAGGCAGGAGAATGTTTGGAGAGGGTGCAAAACCAAATTAAATGTGAGAAATCTGTTAGAGATCCAAGTGGGGATATCGAATAGGCACTTGTGTATGAGTCTGGCATTCAGGAGTGAGGTCTTGCATGACATAAATTTGGCAGTCAAAAGTCTGTGGGTGGTATTTAAAGCCATGGGTCTTAAAGAAGGGGTGTGAGGACTAAGCCCTGGTGTACTCAAATGTTTAGAGGTCTGGGAAATGAGGAGAACGTGGGAAAAGAACTTAAAAATGAAGTAGAAATAAAAGAGAGTGGTATCTAGGAGATGAAGTAAAGAATATGATTCAAAATGGAAGGAGTAATTAGCTTGTCAAATGTTACTGCTGGGCTTCCCTGGTGGCGCAGTGGTTGACAGTCCGCCTGCCGATGCAGGGGACACAGGTTCGTGCCCCGGTCCGGGAGGATCCCACATGCCACGGAGTGGCTAGGCCTGTGAGCCATGGCCACTGAGCCTGAGCGTCCGGAGCCTGTGCTCCGCAACGGGAGAGGCCACAACAGTGAGAGGCCTGCGTACCGCAAAAAAAAAAAAAAAAAAAAAAAAAAAATGTTACTGCTAATTAGGGGGAGTAAGAAATAAGCCTTTGTTGTATTAAACCACTGAGATTTTGAAGTTTGTTTCTGCAGTGCATTAGCATATTAATCAATACTGTATAAACTAACTTCTTGAATTGCTTTGAATTTAAATTCTGAAAGTAAGTGCTTAAATTCAACTAATAAACGTCCTTAGAGTCCTATATGAGATCATTTTGGGCATTTTACCTGTAATGATTTGTCAGTTAGGATAGTTATTTTCTTCTTGTCATTAGAATATCTGCTTATGGATTCTTATTCATTGACTCTTTCCAACAACATTTATAAAACTTAATACTCTAATAATTAGCTTCCTGAGAACAGTAAATTATCAGTGAAAGGTGCACTCATGGCGCTTTTCTAGCATAGTGATGCACTGCTTGACACAATTGGTACTCAATAAATGTGAATATGTCCATCAAATACCTGTTTTATTAATGTTATTTGATGTGTTATTACCACAGAGACTGCACTATTAAATGGCCAAAGGCCAATCTCAGGTAGTACAATGGATATGGAAATTACGTTTCTGACTTTCAGTAAAGAAACCATTTACAAAATCTGAGAGTGGAATAAGTATGTTGACTCGGGGCCATCAGAAGAGACTGTGCAGATGCAGAGGTGCTTGTTGAGGGGGACTGAGGTCCAGACCAATTTCCAATCTCCAATCTGCTCTGTCCCAGAAGGCATTAGTGAGTAGAAGGAACACTTTTATAATTAGTCACCCTAGAATAGGTACCTTTTTGTAATTAGTTAGTCTAGAGAAAGTAACTTTCTCTTAGCACAGATTTGCACATCTGCCTACAGAAGACTTTCAGTGGAATGATATCTGCAAAAATATCATTTTGGTTTGATGGGTTCAGACAACAGTTTTAAATGGAATCTTCAAGTTTGATGAGAAGACAGAAAACAGACTATTTTCAGTAGGTTGGATACAAGTGAGCAGTAAAGGCCAAAGGATGGTATTGGCATTATTTTAAAGCAATGGTTCCCAAATGGGGGCAAATTTGCCCCCTGGGGGATATTTGGCAATGTCTGGAAACATTTTTGATTGTCAAAATTAGGGAGGTGCATGGTGATACTGGCATCTAGTGGGTAGAGGCAGGGATGCTGCTAAACATCCTACAGATACACAAGATAGCCACCCCCGTCACTTAGAATGAAATAGTATCCATTCTAAATGTCAGCAATGCCAATTGAGAAACCCTGAAATTTCTTTCTTTATAAAAGAAGAAACCCCTAATATCTAAAATCTAATTGTACGTTTAGAGTCATAAGCCTATCTTCCCAGGACCTTCTGTTTAAGGAAACTTTGTTCATAATGTATACTCTTCTAATTCCAGCTAATTATAGTGCCTTACAGTGTTCATAAGTCAAAAGTTATTTGAGGGTGATTGCTTTTACTCGCTCAAAAACAGAATCCTCAGTTTGAATATAAAGTCCTGATTTTTACTCTTTTTACCCTTTATATTTTTTGCAATTCCCCATCCAAGTTCTCCTGGAAATTGGGTTGAGATAAAGGGAGGGTAAGACCTCAAATCCACGACTAGAGAGATAACTGTGTTTCATTGGGTGGAAAAACATGAAATTCTGAGTCTCGGATGGCCCTCCTAAGGAAGCATCGACTCCCACCACTCTTCTTAGCATCGATCAGCCTGCCCGATTGGTTTTAAGATTACTGCCGCCGTCCTCAAGTACTGCCTGCCTCTGAACAAGAGCGACAGGTAACGCCTCCCAGCAGTTTTAGCCGGGCAGCCCCGTGTCCCCAAGCACAGGCCCAAACTTCCGGAGCACACCGCTCGACGGTGGGCGGAGCGGGGAGGAAGGCGGGCCACACATCTCTGAGGACTAGAGCACCGGGCAGCCCAGGCAGGTCGAGGGTCTGTGAGGCGACCGGGCCCCTCGCGGCCCGCCGGAGGGGCCGCGCGCCGCCGGAAGTTGGAGGGGGCGCTCGCCCGAGCGCCGGCCCCACAGCCAGGCCCTCCGCAGGGTCCGCCCTCCGCCGGGCATGGAGGAGGGCGCGGGAGCCGCGGCCGCCAGGACCCGCCCCCTCGCCTTCCAGAGCAAGCGACAGGCGGCGCGAGGAGGCGGGGCCGCGGCTGCTGGCGGTGTCTGCGCCTCGCGGTTTCGGAGCTAGCAGACGCTCGGGGAACATGGCGGCGGCCGAGCCCGCGGTCCCGGCGCTCCCCAGCGGCGGTGGCTTGGGGGCGCCGTCGGGCACGGTCCCCGTGCTTTTCTGCTTCTCGGTCTTCGCGCGGCCCTCAGCCGTGCCGCACGGCGCGGGCTACGAGCTGCTCATCCAGAAGTTCCTCAGTCTGTACGGCGACCAGATAGACATGCACCGCAAATTCGTGGTGCAGCTCTTCGCGGAGGAGTGGGGCCAGTACGTGGACCTGCCCAAGGGCTTCACGGTGAGCGAGCGCTGCAAGGTGCGCCTCGTGCCGCTGCAGATCCAGGTGGGTCTCGCGGGAGGGCCGCGCGCCGAGCCGCAGCTCCCGGTCCCCGTGCGTCCCCGTCCCCGCGGCGCTCCTCAGGTGCCCCGCGGCGGCGGGCCCTGCGCACCGCGCCCACTGGGAAGGGCCGTGCCGCTGTCGCAAGCCTCCGGGATGGCCCAGCGAAAGCGCTTGTCCGAAGGTGACGGTCACCGGCTGTCCTCGGCCGAGGACGGGGCGTGGGCCTCCCGGCTATTGGCGGCGCGCGCGAACGCCCCCACGTGTGTGGTCCTCAGCCGCCCGCATCCGCTTTGTGTGCCGGGAGCGAGTCCTAGCCTCCTGCGTAACCGAAGGGCTGTGCAGAGTAAGCTGTGTTTTTATTTGGGTTGATGCAGAACCAGGGAAAGGAGATTGTGGGGGAGTATCGGCCTCAGGGTTTGTTCCCGGAGTTGTGTTTACCACTTGCGGAAACACAAACTTCAGGAGTCCTATCCTTTCACCCATCCTCTTCCCCAGTTTTCTGCTCCTTTGATCTTAAGTCTTTCCTAACCTTAAGTGAAATAACCTTGTTTAGCCTCTTCCAAGTAACTGTCAACTGAATCTGTTGATTACATATATACGTTGCCTACCTTGAAAAAGTCGTTTGACTCAGCACTGCAGCACCTTCTTAAATACCCAACTTTAGCTAGACCATTCTTTCCTGGTCGTGCTGGCAGAAAAAGTTGTCATACTTGAGGATTATTTTATGCCTTTTTAATATTTTTAAAAAGCTGTGCTCTAATACTGCGCAGATCTGCCTCCTGTGTTCTTTTTATGCTCAGCTCAGAGGATTCACCGGAAGATTTATCCTGTTGAAAAGCAAGAACAAAAGGTGTATTTTAGGTACTACACCACCACCATTTTTTTTGGTTGAGAAACTGGTAAGCCATTTCTTTGGAAGACCCAACTGAAATGTGGGATTCAGGATTAGAAGGCATTTTAATATTCAGGTGTCATTTTCTGAGGACTGTTCTGTAGTTTTTGGTGGTTTTTTTGTTTGTTTGTTTTTCACTTGTAGTTGTCTGTGGAATTGGTCTTGTTTGCTATTACTCCAGCAAGTGATAGCAGAGGAAGGCCAGAAGCTTCCAAAGCAGATACTTTAACCAGAGGGCAAAGGCTGTGAGATTCTGTGGTCAACCCTTGGAGAGCCAAAAGGGAGACAGTTGGCGTCTGATACCCTAGAATTTGCCCTGCTCTTGGGAGAGTTGTGGTTGGTACGTGTTTACTACCACCCATTTTTATGCCTTCAAGAGTTTTCATGGCTGACACCTCTCTGCAGCCTTCCTTGTCAGTCTGTTTAGATTATTACTGCCAAAATATGGAAGAAGCTGGATGCACCTTTGACAAATCCATTAATAAAGGGGAGAATCCAAATACTAGCTGAAGAGATCTGGAGCTTTACTGAGGATGCAGACTTCTTTGTGATGCATTTCCTGTAGTGGTTGGGAGGGAGAGTGGGCTGTCACCTAAGAAGATGTTATGCCAAACTAGCACCCTCCCCAAGTCTTTAAGACTTCCCCCTCCCCCAACAATGGGATTTCTTATTTTGAAAAATTTAAAGCCTGGATCTGAGAACTCTTTTTAACTTATCAGTTTAGAAGTTAATGAAATATTTGTATATACCTGAAATGTCTTGTACATTCTCAAAAGGCATTATATAATTCAGGTCACATGTGGCTTTTGAAGTCTTTTGCTTGGTATTGGAGATAAAATATAGTTATTTTTTTGTGGTGATGTTTAAAATAATAATGATAATATCATTACTCTGTTCCATTCTTTTAAAAATGTTATTTTTTCCCCACTAAATAGTCCAATAATTCTTAAGCATCTGTTATAGGATACTTTATATATTTTAAAGTATTTAACAATATTTTTATATTCTTTCATTTTAGTAATCACAATAGCTTGACTTCTTCAGCCAGGTGCCTCCCCCAGCTTAAAAATAGGTAATGTGGAGGAATATACACACATACCATATATATCCATATACTTATTCTGATACCTATTTATATGAAGAGAGATATATATGTGTGTGTGTGTATGTGTATGGATATTCTCAGAAGAAAAAGGGAAGATACTTCTTTTCATGACCGTTTTACTGTATTTTTTTGGAACCTGGCTGTGTAATCCTAGAGACATGGACATTTTCTGGCTGGATGAGAATGTAGAGTTCACTCCACATTTGAGTGGCAGCTGTAAGTGCCTGGCCCAGTGAATGTAAACATGGGTAAGACCCAATTCTTGTTCCGTACCTAGTAATCTAACTCCTTCGTTTTACCAAAGAGCAGAACATGTAGGAAATTGCCTGAGGTTCCATGGTAAAGCGTGTGAAGGTCCTACAGCTGGCCGTAGCATTTATGTTCTCTTTTCATGCTTAATGAAAATAGCAAGCAGAATGGAAAACAAGCCGCAAACTTGAGCTTGTAACAGCATTTGTTTTGATGCTATTCGTTGTTTCTGTGGAACAGATGCCTGTCACTCAGCAAGACTCAAGGTGGCCTGTCAGTGAGGCCATGCTCTGAGTATAGGCCCCTTCTCCCAGAGGCAGGGATGAAGAGCATGTTTGGCCACATGTAATCCACAGCTTAAATAATGCCATTTATTATTTCTCCAAGAATAGGCCTCATAGCCTCTGTGGCCCTGGCTAACATACAAAATATTCTAGAATGTATTCTTAATTTACACAGGGGTCCGAGTTTGCTTTCACGCTTGTTCTGACTGACGTTGCTAGTGACCTTGTAAAACACAGTGGCTGCTTGTGCCACACTGTCTGCGCTGGTGGTTGGTTAGTGGTTCTGTGGGGATTGATCTTTAAGACCCCCATTGCCAGTATTAGGCTCTGGTAACTTTTTAGTGTCTTCTTTTCTGAAATATTCTGTCCAAGTGACCGAATGTCTGCCGACAGCTCAGGTAGCTGAAGACAGCTCATGTTTCAAGCACGGTTATGAGTCTTCAGCCTTGTCAAAATGCTTGAAGTCTAAGGAATTTTGAGACGCAGGGGAAGAAATGTAAATGAGAGGATTATACAGTGGGAATTTAGGTCATTTTCATGACTTATAAGTGTTAATTTTTCACAAGGTATTTCCCAAGTTTTAACTAACGGAGAATTCAACCCTGGACACTTGGGCAGAGCCCAAGTAGAAGAGAGGAAGAAAAGGACATAGTAAGAATGACAGCAGCGAGAGGATTTTACTTCGGTATGTAGGAGGGAAGCCTCTGGCAGCTTCCTCTGGGCAGAAGATAAGGGCTTCCCTGGGAAGGTTATTTCGACTTTTTCCTGAGGTAGTTAATTTGGAAGGGATTCTGCTCCAGGTTTTACTTCTTGGAAGTTTATTAGTACTATGATTATTTTAAACAGAGGTGTAGATGTTTTATAGCTAGAAGAGACCCCAGAGTACATGGTGGGAAGGGAGAGAAGGCAGGGTTTGGAAAGAAAGGGGAAAGGACTTGGGTCTCCCTTGGGCTTGCTAGTTGGAAGGTGGTGATTTTTTTTTTTTTTCTTTTGCGGTACGCGGGCCTACTCACCGTTGCGGCCTCTCCCGTTACGGAGCACAGGCTCCGGACGCGCAGGCTTAGCGGCCATGGCTCACGGGCCCAGCCGCTCCGCGGCATGTGGGATCCTCCCAGACCGGGACACGAACCCATGTCCCCTGCATCGGCAGGCGGACTCCCAACCACTGCGCCAACAGGGAAGCCCGAAGGTGGTGATTTTTGATTTCAGAACCTTTACTGTGGAGCGTGTAGGAGGAGCAGGTAGATAAGCTAATGCTCGGAACTCTTGAGTTAGAGAAGCAGGCAGGAACTATCTTGGGAGGCACACAGTGTCAGGGGCACTGGAGAAAACAGCTGGATCCTGAGGGTATGATATTGTCTGCCCGCCCACTTTTTAAGAATTTAACATTGCAGATTACTGCCCAAAGCATTGTACACATTTTGCCTCTTGTGGATACATTAGAGGCTACCTATAAATAAACTGTGTTTGAGTGGGAGCTAAACACAATTTCCAAACTGTGTTTGGAACTTTTTTCTGTCATTTAGTTTGCCAAGGGGAATCCAAAGTAGATTCAGATATCACTGTGTTCCTGGGATCTGGCCAGCTTCACCTTCACTCCAACCTCAGGTACAGTCTAAAGAAATCCATCGTCCTTAACACTGAAATTGATGGAGTTGGCTGGCTTCCCTTAGGCAGTTAGAAAGCTCGCTGGAGTTGTAACCTCAGTGCAAGTGACATTAGTGCTTACAGCAGGTGAGTAGGTTGTAAAATAAGAGTGAAATAAATATTCTTTTGTAGTCTAAATTAAAAAGCCCCAAACCGTTTTGCCAGGAGCAGATCATGTAATTGTCAGTCTTTTGGTGACATTTAGAAATCCACTTTATGAATCATTTCTTAATTCTGTAGACTAGGTTAACATAAGTTAGGCAATATCAGTATTTCTTTCTATATATTTATTGTTTTCATAAGGGATTTTAGTAGTAAGTGGTATTTTAACCTCATTACAGAAGAACTATTTTTAACATGTGCTGACCTTCAGAGCGTGTGTTTCCTATAGGAGGGATACACAATAACCTAATACATTTATTGATTGATTTACATGAAGCTGATTTAATCCTTGAAATAGCCCTGTGAGGTAGACACTATTTTTATTACTTCGTTACAGATTAAGAAGCAGCTGTTTGGAGATGTTAATGATTTGCTGCATTTCATGTAATTGAAATTAGTGAAATTGACATTTGGACTCAGATTCTAATGCGCCTGGGCTGTCCTGTGTAGGCATTCTTGTAACCTGGGAGAGTCATGTCACAGACCTCTGTTTTGAGTCAGTATTGGAACAAAGCCTTACTATGCCTGTGGTAATCGGGTTTCCTTGGAAACACTTCTCAGTGAAATAATGATACCTCATATCCCCTTCTAGACCCCTCTCCCAAGCACATCATGCCTATATTGTGACTATAACAGACTACTAAAATTTTGAAAACATCACATTTACAATTCCAAACTTTAATCATTCCTAAAGATGTACAGTTTACTCACTGTAGTCGTTCGCTAGTTTGCTGCTGTAACAAAGTATAATACTACAGACTGAGTGGCTTATACAACAGAAATTTATTTTCTCATAATTCTGGAGGGTTTAGATCAGGTTTGGTTCCTTCTGAGCGCTGTGAAGAAGCCGTTCCATGCCTCCCTCCTGGCTTTTGGTGGTTTGTTGGGAGTCTTTGGCATTGTGTGGCTTGTAGACATGTCACCTTGATCTCTCCCTTCATGTTCACATGGCCTTCTCTGTGCCCAGATTTCCCCTTTTGATAAGGATGCCACTCATGTTGGATTAGGCACCCACTCTACTCCAGTATGACGTCATCTTAACTAATTATGTTTTCAGTGACTATTTCCAAATAAGGCCACTTTCTGAGGTACAGTACTGGTGGTTAGGAATTCAACATATAAATTTTAGAGCACACCATTCAACATACAACACTCACCATGCATTACGTTTATGGAGAGAACAGAAGTGGGGCACCATGTATCACTAAGCAAGGCCAGCCACTGTGTATGTGCCTGTCCTGAGTAACCGAGCAAGGGAGGAGCAGATTCCTTGCAGATGTAGCAGCCATTGTTAGAAAATGGTCAGAGCACATGTGGAAGTGAAGGAGGGTAAATACTGTTATGACTGTGGTAATAATGAGACTTGGGGATGAAGAGTCTTTTGAATATGAAATCTAAGGTTGAATGCCAGCTAAGACAGTTCTTAAGAAAGTGGACAAAAAATTTATACTTGACATTTATCTCTTAAACTGTTGCTTGAGGAAGCCATTGGTTGTGATCAGCTTTTTGTGTTGAAATATGTATATTGAAATACGTATTTTTTATGTATATGTGTATGTGTAGGGATTTATGTGTATAAATATATGAAGGTGTGTGTGTATACACATGTTTACTTTTATATGTGATTTCTTCATACTTCTTGAATATGTGTTGATCTGTAATTGCTTCGCTTTTACTCGTGATGGCACTTGGTCAAGGTCACTTTTAATTTGCTATCTTGCAGTTGCATGTTTGACAATGAGCAGCACTTTAGTTATGTACAAGGTTTTGGTTTAAGAGGAATTTCTGAGTCAAGTTACGAAGTCCCTGAATTATAGAGTCAGTGTGTAATTTAACAATTACTGAAATTCATGTGGATTTGGGGTGGATGGGGGGTTTGGTTAGAGTTTCTCAGTAGTTTTTTATTTGTTTGTTTTTTGTTTTGGTAGCCTCAAATCCTCCTTTTTCTGTCCTGTAAGATATGGAGTTTATTCATAAAGTAGCATCTTTCCCCCCTACTACTATGGCATAGGGAGACCTTTTTTCTTTTTTCATAAACTTCTAATTTTAGAATAGTGTTGATTTACAACAAAGTTGCAAAGGATAGTACAGAGAGCTAGCTCCTTTATACCTGACCTAGTTTCCCTTCTTGCTAACATCTTACATTACTGTGGCATATTTGTCACAGCTAAGGAACCAACATTGGTACATTACTATAAGCTGAGCGCCACACTTTAGTCAGATTTCACTAGCTTTTCCCTAATGTCCTCTTTCTGTCCCAGGATCCAATTCAGGATACCGATTACGTTTAGTTGTCATGTCTCCTTGGACTCCTGTGGGTTATGGCAGTTTCTCAGAGTTTCATTGTTCTTAATGACCTTGACAGTTTTAAGGAGTACTGATTAGATATTTTTTATTCCTTTTTTTTTTTTTCCCCGATACGCGGGCCTCTCTCCGCTGCGGCTTCTCCCGCTGCGGAGCACAGGCTCCGGACGCGCAGACTCAGCGGCCACGGCCCACGGGCCCAGCCGCTCCACGGCATGTGGGATCCTCCCAGACCGGGGCACGAACCCGTGTCCCCTGCATGGGCAGGCGGACTCCCAACCACTGCGCCACCAGGGAAGTCCTGATTAGATATTTTTGTAGAATGACCTCATTTTGGGTTTATCTGATGTTTTCCTCATGCTTCAACCCGGGTTGTGAGATTTTGAGAGGAAGATCATGAAGGTCATTCTCATCATATATCAAAGCTGAATATTGTCACCATGGATTACCTCAATCTTGATCACCTGGCTGTGGCCCTGTTCACCATTACCCTCCCTCTATACTCTAAAGAAGCAAATTACTAAGGGCAGGTCATATTCAAGGGGATGTCAACTCCTGGAGAGGAGAATGTCTAAGGCATTTTTGTTTCATGAAATTATAACCAGTCATTTCTGCATAAAAATATGCCTCACCCGCTTGTCTCTATGGTTTCTTTCTTTAACTGAAGGTTTATAGATGATGAATTCCTCTACTAGAAAGGATTTGCAGGGTGCTAAGGATTTCAGGGCTGCATTTTCTGACCTCCTCAATCTGTGTCTAATATGACATACGTCTGATGTGGTCCCCTGCCTAGAACAGATACCTCACAGCTGAAATGAGGTATAGGGAAGCACCAGGTAACAGGAACCCCAGGAGACCACAAGTCTGAATATTCTAGGATTTCTGAGTAGGTAAGGTTTTATTCCTTTAAATATCCCAATTTTTTGTATTTTGACCATTTTATATGGTAGTCCTAAAATATTATGTAACTTATTTTCTTAATGAGTGTGATAAAATGATTTTGTCCCAATTTATAACTTATATACAGCTTGTTACTCCTTCATTGGAGTCTAGAATGAGAACTAGTTGAGTTTTGATCTGCTTTTATTGTATTTTTAATCGTTTCTTCCTCAGCTGTCATTTCTTGTTGCTATCCGTTTGCCTATCTTCAGCAGTTCCCTTTCAGATTTGCTGTTTCCAATCCTGTGTTAATTTATAATCCAGACAACCAAACTTGTTAGGAATGTATACAGAGTTAGTCAGTACAGTCTGAGATAAGATCTGAAAGCTGGAGATCGAAGCAAGTGTCGGCTGTGTGTTCGTGCATGGCCATCCAGCATACTTGGGCAACTGCCTGGGAGTTTTATTTTGCCTGCTTGCTGGTATTCCCATGTGGTAGAATGGCAAGATGGCTAAGGTGCCTTAACAGTTACTTGAAACAAGACAGTTACAGCTAAACTGCTTTTCATAATGTCCCCTCAACACATGGTGGATGACTAGGGACCCCTGGTTCAAATTTCTAAAAGAATATATATATATGGATTTTAAGCCTTTTGAGCCAAGATTTAATGTTTACTGAAATTTAAGATACATGGTCATAGTGACTGGTTTTCAACCAAGTACCCTAAGTACTTACCTATACATCAGACTCATTGCTTTTGATAATGACCAAAATGGAAGCATGGTACTTGCATTAAAAATTTAAGTAAGGAAGGAGCCTGAATATTTATTTTAAACATAGTTTATTGGCAGAGTAGGAAAACCCTCCACATAGTGTTAGAATTAAAGATGGCACTTGCATTCTGACATGAACTTGGTGTTGGACTGCACATGGTTAATCAGTGCACACTTATAGAGTTAATACCAGAGGGAGATTAAGGTGCTGGAGTCCTTCAGACCAGGACACAGATAAATAAAAGTGCAAACTGACTAGAACAGTCGTACTGTTAAGGATAAAAGATTCCTTTTGATGATTCATTTAATTCTTGTAGTAATTGTTTCTTGGGAGTATGCCATGTGCACAGATACTAAGGCAGAGTCAGGGCCAGGCTGGTGGTGAAGCCACCACCATGTAATCAGGACTCAGGTTCCTCTATAAAATTATGAGTAATTATTGACTGTGGGTGGTTTAGGTTAATTAGAGGGGAGACTTACAGGGTGCCTAGTAAGAGTAGTGGCATGGGTTCATTCATGATCAGACTGTATCCTTTCCAGAGCTTTCTCTCATTTGAGAAGGTAGAAAGAAAAGTACCATGGACTTTTAAGAATTAAATTCTTGTATTCAACAGTGATTTTTCCCTTTTTGGTAGATCCATATTGGGCCCAAGTTGTTATAATAGACCAACTACAGCAATTAATGTAAAGCATGGTAATCTAATACCCATCTTAATTCATTGACTTTCCTGATTGTGATAAATATGTGTAAGAATTCAGATGTCAAATTTATGTCTTTCCATTTGACAGTGGTGATGTGCTTGACATCATTTCATTGCATTTTATTTGAAGTGTAAGAAGTTATTCTTGAGAATACCAACTTAATATTTCTGTGTTGATGATAGCAGTATATCTAGATTTGTTTCGTTTTTTTAGTTTTTTGTTCCATAATCTTTGCTACAGATTATTTAAATTTTATTCTTTGTTCTTGTAAGCAATGCCATCAACAGATTTAAGTTTTTTACTGTTTTTTTATTATAAAAGTAATACATCTTTTTAAATAACATTTAGCAAATGTTTTAAAATAGCATTTGAAAAATAAAAGAAAGGTATTAAGAAAAAATGTTATCAGCATCCCTAACTATATAACCACGTGTTCATATTTTCATGTATTTGCTTCTACTTTTTATTCATATTTTTACATTATTGAAATACTATTGAACTGTGCTCTGTTTTTAAAATTAACGTTAGATTATGGCATTTCTTCTTAGATGGTGCACATTTTTTGAAAACATATACATACGTTATTTTAATAGGCTAAAAAATGTTTGTCGTGTGAATGTGTTAAAATTTGTGAAATCATTTTTGTATTGTTGGTTCTTGGTTTATTTCTAATTTTCACTATTAAAAGCAATTCAGTGGACATCTTTGGGCATAATTTTTTTTCCTGTTATTCATATCACTTCTCTTAGACAATAGTTGTAGAAATGGATTTAATGGGTCAAACAGTAGGAATGTTTTTCTCTCTTTACTGACCTCCAGCTGAAAATAAATGTCATTGTATAACAAATGCTAAATCATTCTTTTTTTCTTTTTTCTTCAGCTTACTACCCTGGGAAATCTTACACCTTCAAGCACTGTGTTTTTCTGCTGTGATATGCAGGAAAGGTTCAGACCAGCCATCAAGTATTTTGGAGATATTATTAGTGTGGGACAGAGATTGGTATGCTTGCTTGTTCATTTTTTCCAATTTGCTAAAGCATGATTCATACGCAAACATATGTATATTGCTACTTATCTTTGTGTGTTTGTTTTCCTCCAGTTACAAGGGGCCCGGATTTTAGGAATTCCAGTTATTGTAACAGAACAGTACCCTAAAGGTCTTGGTAGCACCGTTCAAGAAATTGATTTAACGGGTGTAAAACTGGTACTTCCAAAGACCAAGTTTTCAATGGTATTACCAGAAGTAGAAGCAGCATTAGCAGAGATTCCTGGAGTCAGGAGTGTTGTGTTATTTGGAGTAGAAGTGAGTACCTCTTGTTCTGTTTTGGACACGATATCATTTGTAGAAAGCTTGTTATTTCCAGAATGTAATTTTGTATATAGAATACCATGTAGGTATCTGATAGAAAATAGCTACCAGTTTTTAAGTGTTGACTACTTGCATGGCACTGATCTAAACACTTTATATATATTGATTTGTTGAACTCTCACAGCAATCCTCTGAGCTAAGTACTTTTGGTCTCATATTGTAGGTGAGAAAACTCAAACAAGGTGCTATGTGTCTTGCCCAAGGTCATAGTTAGTTGAAGTTAGATGAAGCTGCATTTGAATCTAGGTTGATAGATTCTTGGGCCTTTACTTTGAACCCCAACTTTTGGAACACATTTTCACCAAAGACAGTATGTTTATGTATGTGTTATAGGAGCTCACCTTGGCCATGTTTTTGTTTTAGAAAAACCTTAAAAGTCATGTAGTTCATTGTCCTTCACATTTGAATCATGTGTACCTATTTTTTTAAAGGAAAAAAAATACTCATGGATTCCTAATGCTGATTAAAATGATTTTTTGTTTGGTTTGTTTTTTTGACATGTAGAAACAGAATATAAGTATTTATTCATAGCTTTTAAACACCTCTTGAACTAAAATTTTAAAATTATGAAAACAGTGAAATCCAAATAATATTAAAGACATCCATGATGTTTTGATAGTAGGTTTCAGGGTAGTAGGTTTTAATAGCCTCAGGTTTAGATATAAAAATTTCTGTATTTTGACTTAAATAATGATAAAATAAAGGAAGCCTATTTGTATAAATATGTCACACCAAATGCTGACTTTTGCACTTTTCTTGCTTGTTCATCATTAGACCTCATGTCTAATCAAAATCATCTTTGAGCAGTCCTCCAGTGCTAATTTTAATGAGTTGTCAGTTGATAATTCTCCACAGCCCTCTTGTCATATGAAGATAAGGTTGGTTGGCATTATTAAAATCTGCTTTCATTGGTTATATAATCCACTTATTGTTGGAGCATGTTTTTACTCTTTATTCTCGGCTGATGAATTGTTACAAGTTCATACTTAGAAAGATGGAATCTGTATAATTCATTTTCTGGTGATGTATACTGGGTATTTTTTGCCTGTGCTACAAGTTATTTTTAACTTGGCTTACCTTTATACTACTGGGTGCCTTACCACAACTCAGTTTTCCCACCATTATCTCAATTGGCAGTACTGCAAACGCGTTCTTTGTGTTAGGCACGTGGTGTGAATACAGAAATAAACCCAACTGCGAGTGGCATCAAAACTGAGTGGTAGTAGTCAGCCATATGAAGGTCGTCCAGATGACATAGATGAAAATCTTTAAAAAAAGTGCTCACAGCGCTCTAAGAATATGTTCAAGGTTCCCAGTATAAAGAACATTGATGTAATGCAGTCCCTGACTTAACAAAGAGGCAGCCAAAGCCAGAAATGCTGTTTATGCTCAAGATCACTAGTGAGTTGGAGGCAAAACTAGATGTGGACAAGGCCATTAGACCTGTAGTGCTCTTTCTGCTCTACCGTGTTGCTGCACATTTGTAAAATACTGGTAGTTTACCACGTTATTACATATGGTTTTTACTTTCCTACTAGACCCATGTGTGCATCCAACAGACAGCTCTGGAGCTCGTTGGCAGAGGTATTGAGGTTCATATTGTTGCTGATGCCACGTCATCGAGAAGCATGATGGACAGGATGTTTGCTCTTGAGGTAATTGTCCTGCTTTAAAATAAATCATTAGCCAAGGCTTCCAAGTAAATTTGGAGAGTATCAAATATGTAACAGCAGTGAAAGATTTACCTCTTAGATTTGAGCTTGGTCTGACAACCATCAGGCTGATTTCTGGGGTTTCTACTACGCACGACAAACCTCTGAGGTCTCACCATCATATCCTGTTTTACATCTTCTGTCTTTATTTCTAGATGTCTAGTGATGCCAAATGCTCCTTTACATCTTCTTTCGTAACTTTGCTAGTTTTGCACATCAACTAAGAGGTATTCCAGTAAGCTTACTCTGAACTACTGAAAGATTTGCAAATTAACAACAGTTCACCTAGGCTTAACTCGTCCAGGGTCTAGCCAACACCTAGGGTATGGTGGGCCGAAGCCTGGTTCAGCCACTTGTTAGATTTCCTCAGACTTGAATTTCTGGGGATAGGAGGTGTGTCTCTGACTGTGGGCACCACTCACACACAGTGTTTAATGGCTCTCTGCGTGGAGTGTCAAGATATACTTCAGAGTCAGGGAGTTGATGACTTTCATCAGTGTTGCATAACAGTAGCCTTACGTAAGCATTGTCTATTCCGAGACTGTTGAAAAACAAACTCCCACAATTAATCCTTTGAACCTTCACTCCGCATTGTGCATCTCTCTCTTTCATGTTTAATTCTAATTCTATAATAGCTTTAAAGTAATGTCAATCTGGATTGAATTACTGAATTTTTAACTGATTATTTTTATTGAGAATGGGAAATGTAGATTTTTTTTGAGACCCTCCAGTGTTCCATGCATAAGCTGACCTGTGAACCACTTTCTCTGTAGGATTGCTCAATCACCTCTCTAGCCTAAAATGTTCCCTAGGGTGGTGAGTTGGACAAATAAGAAAGAGAGGAAAGAAAGGAGACTCAAGTCAGTGGGGAGGGCTGATGTAGAAGCAGGCGGGTAGCTGTCAGCAGCAGTGGTTTTAAGGCCCTGGTTGGCCATCCCTTCTCTTATTCCTGAGCAGTGAGTCCTATTTTGCGATTATAGGTGGAAATGGTTTTATTTATTTTATTCAACTATTTTCAAGTCCACTTGGACTACTGGGTTCTCTGGTTGGTTAGATACTAAGTGTTGCTTCTTCCCCTCTCAGCAGAGATCTTTAAGCTGTTCTTACAGTCATAGTTAGCTTCCACTTTTCAAATTTCCTTAGTAATCTGAGTTTAAACACTTCCACTGTCAGATCCGTACTACCTCGGCAGGCAGCTCTTTTCTTCTTTGAATACCTTTATGGTAATGCTGAGGTCCAGAACTTGAAGTGTTTCCAAGGAAGCGAAAAACTAAGAACATACAAAACCAAAAATTTTCCTTGCTTGTAAAGCGATTTCAAGAACTTTTGTCCTACATTCGTTTTTTAGATGTCTTTATTATGCCATTTATTACAGAAAATTTTGATTGTTGGCAGTTCTGTGTTCTACCAAGACTCAGAATAAAAACAGCCATTTTACCATCTGAGCCTCATTCTTTTGGAGGTAGTCTGTAATCTTACTGATTAGGAGGAGTCTAAACAGTGGAGGGGTAATATGGGTTTGAATTCAGGTTCTGGCATTTTGTAAATTAGTGTCCTTGGACAAATTACCTAATATCTTTGCCTCAGATTTCTCATTGGTGATGTGAAATAAAATTCATATTTTTATGGCAAGACAAGAAAAATTTAAACATGAAAAAATTTTCTTTGCCCTTTGGCCTCCTCTCTCCTCCCTACTGTGCATTGTGTATCTAAAGTATGCATCGACCAAACCTCCCATCAGCAGAAATACCTGCTCAACCATAAAGAGCAGACAACCCCTTAAAAGATAACATTCCTTCTTGATCTTCTAAAGGGTCACATGACCCACGACAATGGCACTTAGATCTGGATTATGTAAACTGTCAATAATAGGTCATTTAATGTACAGCCCTCTGTCTCAATTTATGTAACTGTGCTTTGACTTCTAACGGGTGGACCAGTTCTCAGAGCTTTCTGAGGGGCTGTTCCCAGGTTATAATCCTCACTTTGGCTTGAATAAAATTTTCCATTTCTTCCTTTTTTTTAATTGGAGTATAATTGCTTTACAATGTTGTGTTAGTTTCTGCTGTACAATGAAGTGAGTCAGCTATATGTATACCTATGTCCCCTCTCTCTTGGACCTCCCTCCCACCCACCTAGGTCGTCACAAAGCACCGAGCTGAGCTTCCTGTGCTTTATAGCATGTTCCTGCTAGCTATCTATTTTATGCATGGTAGTGTATATATATCAATCCTAATCTCCCAATTCATCCCACCCTCACCTTCCACCCCTGTGTCCACATGTCCGTTCTCTAAGTCTGTGTCTCTATTCCTGCCTTGCAAATAGGTTCATCTGTTTCTTTCTTAGATTGATGGATTAATTTTTTGTTGACTGTGAAATAGAAATAATAGTCATTACGTGGGAGGATTTTTGTGAAGAATCAATGAAATAATGTATCGATAGCACTTAGTACAGTGTCTGATATGGTAAACACTCAAATGTTAGCTGTTGCTTTTATTTTTACTGTAGCTATTATTTGTTTTTGCTGTCTTCATGAGGTTTAACTGATCAGAAAAGTATAAGCATATATCAGCTTCCAAGACCCAGAATGGACTAGTCCTGAGAAGTTCTGAGGAGGGAAGGAAGGAATATGGTCTGGGCGGGGTTTGGAAGAGCCTGGAGCAGCCAGCATTGCCTTGGCTTACGGTGCTGAGGTTGAAAGGGAGAGAAGAAGCAGGTCAGGTGGTGATGGGGGAAGATGTGTGCCACATTTCAGATTTTTCCTCTTAGTCTTAATTTGGTATGGAGGTGCTCTAGTCCCTCAGTCCTTGGGAGAAATGTTAAGTCTCCTTTTTTCTTCTGTGACTATGCAAGTGAAATAGAGATCTGGTCTGCTCCCCTTCTTTTTTTCCTTGAGAACGCAACTACTTGAGGTCATTCCTGAGACTCCCCATATTGCCTGTTAAGACCATTGTACTAATAATATTTATAGTTACCGTTATTAAAACTTCTCTGCCAGGATCTGTGGTGTGTGCTTTATTCCACAAAATTTTTTGAGCACCTACCATCTGTCAGGCATTTTTCTTTCAACTTACAATTGTCGAGTAAATGTGAGATAAAATAGACTAAAACCGTCTCATGAGCTTGATGTCCTTGTACTTCTGGGGAGTTGTTAGTGTTACTTGGGAATTTAATGGGTTTAGTCTTTTTTTTCCCCACCCTCTCTGAGACCATCTTGGCTTTGTGTTCTTGCATTTTTAGGTTTGTGGGTCAGAGTAACCTTTCCTTTGGCCTAGTTGGACTGGTTTTGCAAGTGTAAGGGAAGAACTCAGGAAGCCTATTAAACCGTGTACCCATTTGCATTAAACAGCTGGAGTTTTAATTGCCCCTTCTAAAGCCAGGAGATAAAGTGAGTGTGGGACCAGTATTGTAGGTGTACTCATAGCTCAAGGTGGTGGGCAGGAACCTGCCGGTGTCTGGAAAAAGTGCTGCTGTTCTCTTTCTGCTCAGGTACCCTTCTGGGTTGGGGCTGGGAAGGCACCGTGGGAAGATCTGTTAGTCTGATCTAAAGACTTTGCAATCTTAGCAAAGGCGTGAGCCACGCCTTCCCCTAACACAGGTTCTTGGCTGGATTACTTTCGAATGCAATCAATATTGGGCATATCTCCGTCTTGAAGTTAAATAATTTTATGTTTCTGTTTACTAAAGTTCTTTTGTGTGCCTCTAGTGTCCCAGCTTGCCCCTGCCACAGTGTACGGACTCACAGCATCCCTGAGGGTTGCTGGCTTAGGGTGGATCCGGTGCTGCTCTAGTCTGGTCAGGAAAGCACTATGGAAAAAAGCTGCCTTCTTCCTGGGTCATCACATTTCTTCCTCAGACCTGGAAACAGTTTTCTGTCCTTCCTGCCTCATGAAGGAACTAGAAAGATTACTGAGAACTGACCTTTGTTTGCACTTTGGAATATAGAAGGCACTTTCACAGACATTGAAAGTATGATTCAGATTCAGACTGACTGATTGAAAGTCCGTTGATTCAACAGGGAGCAGTAAGGAAGGCAGGCAGCCAGGGAGAGAGCTGCATTTGGATGGCTGGACATTCACGGCACCGAGCTGCAGCTAGTCTTATTCCCCGCCCTGCTGTCTGAAGCAAGCACACAGTCCTTTGAGATTTCTGAGGGTTTGATACGATAGTCAGGAGTTGACTGAAAAGCAAGGAGGAGGAAATTAGTCTCCAGACGTCTTTAAAGAACTCAGTGATGACTCATCCTCTGGGATTTGTCCCAACGTACAGGACACTAGCAGCCTCACTTATTTCTTCCTCTTTCCTATGTAACCTTCTGCTGTTTTTTCATTTCTCCAGAGCTGTGGTCAGCCTGCTCTGCACACTCCTGTGCTGGTGTTTGAGGTCCAAGCTTGCTATCTGATAAGTAGGCTATGGCTTACACTCCCTTCTGCATCCTTGGGGATAAAAAGGAAGAGTCTGCCAGTGGGAAGGTTGGGTCTCTGGATCTGCAGCCATTTGAAGGGTTTACTTTGGCTCCATTGGGATGTCCTGTTTATTCAGGTGACTCCCTTTATGACGAGACACTGATCCACGTCTTTTCCTCTAACTTGCATAGGAATCGTGTCTAACCACCTCATCTTCTAAGGCTCTTACAGTGAATGTTGCTTGGAGTAACAAACAGTTGGTCTGTTTTTTTCCCTGAGGTTTCTGATAAATACATCCAGAAAATGGATCTCTGCTCTAGAATTCTCCTCCCATTCCCCTCTCCCACCCTTTTCTCCACTTTCTCTTCTTTGCCCTCCTCCTTCCCTTTCCCTCCTCCCTTCCTTGAGATTTCTGTCCTTAGCTCTTTATTATGATTCCACTGGAACAATTTGGCAAGGATGTTCTTTCACCTGTCAATGAAACTCTATACAACCTTAAATTTTATACTCCTGTTTATGATTCTAAAAAGCTTACAATGGTGGCAATGGTAGTGGTTCTGTTGTCGTCCAGTGGCACATTCTTAAACCTCACATGAGGCTCCTCTACCACCAGCATTTCTTACTTACGGGAAGGGCATGCAGTTTAATGTCAGATATTTGGAGAGAGGAAAAAAAGAACTTAAGAATCATTGTTTTACAGTCCTTAGCCTTGATTTCCCTCTGTCCCTGGTGCATATAAGTGAGAATATTGGCAAGTGAGAATATTGGCTGCCTATTCTCTTTTACTTGTTCCTAGTCCTTATTACTAATATTGAGAACCATCATAAAGGGTTTGTGGTGTGGCTAGTTTGAAATCTCTCCTCATGTCTGAATTTGATGGTATGGCTAAGGGCCATGGTTTTGATAGAGGACACTAATCGTTGTGTCCTGGCATGCTTTTTGCTGTTTTAATACAGTGTTCATTCTCATGCTTAATTTCTTGATTTGTCTTTTTTTTTTTTTTTAAAGCGTCTTGCTCGAACTGGGATCATAGTGACTACAAGTGAAGCTGTTCTGCTACAGCTGGTGGCTGATAAAGATCATCCAAAATTCAAGGAAATTCAGAATCTAATTAAGGCGAGTGCTCCAGAGTCGGGTCTGCTTTCCAAAGTATAAGACATGTGAAGAACGGGTGTGCTACTCACCATCAGGTGACAGGACTGTAAGCCCGGACAAGCTCATGTCTCTAGTAGAAAGAATTAAAACGTTAAGTCAAAAATTGGCTCTTTTTTGCGCCTCTTAGTAAAACTTAACCAATTAGACCGTTTGGGTACCAGCATTTAGTTACAGATGTCAAAGGTTTTAGGTGCTGCTTACCTTCTTCTTATGTTAATGTGCTTTTATTTATTAAAAAAATTATAATGGAGGTGCCTGTTTTCTCTATACCATATACACTGATCATACTTTCAAAAGTGCACACTCTTGTGAAATTTTCTTAAATTGTGCACAGTTAAAGACAAAGATCTCCCAGTAATAGTTTGACTTTTGTCTTATTGTAAGATGTATGTTACAATGTTAATGTGGATTCAGTGCTTTTACTTTACAGGTTGATTGAAATAGGATTATTAAACGAGAATTTAAAAACAGGACTCTGGATCTTGTTACCCCTTTCACGATGCAGTCAAGTTATTTATTATGTTGCACTGGTTTAACCAGACAAACTTACGTTGAATAATTACATATCTTTCTTAATTATGCTAATTTTCTTATTCTGCTCACCATCACTAATTCTCTGTTAATGTTCTCTTTTTTAACTGAATCTTTTACCCAGAAAGACTCATTCGCTCATTGCTTGTTTTAATTTTGTAAACAGATGGGAGGATTTGCAACACCATATCATTAATGGAGGGCTGTTTTAACATCTTTGAAGTATTACTTTAGCTGAATAGCTTTATAACCATCTTGAATACATCTAATAAGCACAAGATTTAGCAAAAAGGTAAAGGCTGGATAAAACGTAGTTTTAAAACATCCATATTCTTGTTTGAAATTTTTTCCACCTACCTTCCAATTACTGTTAATGCAAAAGGCCTCAGTAATCATTTGGTAGTATTGCTTTTGCAGTCATTACTACCATTCAATAAATTTATTTTCATTAAATACTTACTATAGGGTTTTAAAACTTTTTAAAAAATATTATGTGAAATATGAAACATTGGTGTCTTTTATATTAAAGTAATTAAAGAAAACGTATTATGTGAATGAAGTTCTTTTGTCTGCCACAGCATGGCTCTATGAGTACTCTTCCAGGGATTCTAATATTTATTTAAAGGTGTAAAATTTTTGACATTTGTAATCTTTCAACTCATGGAAATTTTCGAAGAATGAAAATGTTTTGTCCATGGGGGTAAATGGATTTTATTGAAGGGCCTTCTTATTTAAGAGCAGTAGAAATTTTTTTTTTTTTTTTTTTCTGGTCAGTGTAACAAACAGCAATCTAGCATTCTTCTTAGGGTTATGTTTAAATTTTTTTCCCAGCAAACTTGTGTGTCAAAAAAGAAGAATCAAAGATTTCTACACATTTTAAAATAGTTTTTAATAAATTTAACCTAGTGCTTCTCAAACTCTAATATGAATACACATCACCTGGGGGATCTTGTTAAAATGCTGACTCTGGTTCAATAGGTCTGGCTTCTGTGCCTGACATTTTGCATTTCCAAAAAAAAAAAAAAAAAGCCAGTTTCTACCAGCCCTGCTCAGAAGAGACCAACCATACTTTATGAGTAGCAAGGATTTAACTAACATCACCTGTTTTCCTCCACTGAGTCCTGGCCCTTCCTCTCATGAAACACCACCCCAATGAAGCCTTTTCACAGCTGAAACAATTCTGTGAACTTGAGTCAGTTTCCTATGGCTACCATATTAAATTACCACAAACTCTGAGGTTTAAAACAACGCAAATTTATTATCTTCCAGTTCAGTAGGTTAGAAATCTGAAATGGGTTTCACTGGGCTAAAATCTGTCTTTCCCACTAGATTCTAAGCTTCTTGAAAGCAGGACCTGTGCATTTATTCTATACTCATTCTGGAAACTCATTTTGAGAACCTACTAAGTTCTAAACATGTGCTGAGGATAGAAAGATGCCCCAAGGAAGCTTAGGGTCTGGTACAAAATCAGATATATCATAACCTTTCAGTAAAAGTGAATTGAATTATGTCAAAGGTTCAGGAATGTCAGTACAACAAAGTTTAGAGTAATATACTTGTGAATTCTGCGTTCTCCCTTCTTTTTTGCAGATCATGCAAGCAAGGTGATGAGGCCTAATTATAGGAAACCTGAATTGATTTTAATACATTAGTCTTTGAATTGGAAGTGTCTCCAATTTTGTAAGGTAACAAAATTCTTTTAACTGATGTAAATAAAGACCTTGAGAACATAAGCAAAAGAATAGTCCAGTGTCTTGAATTGCAAGGGGGTTAGAAACAAGATCAAGACACATCGTTTATTGAAATGCTAAAACATATGCAGAAACTTTATCTGAAATTAAAAGTAATAAAAGTTACTCTAAACAGGAAAGCAAATACCCTATAACATCCATTTAATTACCACATTTCTCTAATTAGGAAGAATATTTTCTCTTTTTAAAAGTTGATATTTGGGTAAATATGACTTTAGATCTGGGTGGAACTTTAAAGATCACGATCTCAGGTCCATTTCAGCTGTAAAATTCTACAACGGTTTTCTTTCACAAGTGTGGCTAGTGAGACCCAGAGATAGATGTTTCTAGTTGCAGAGGTGAGGAAAGGCTCAGCAAGATGACAACTACATTACGTAACACGTTGCCCTGGGCTTCCTTACATTAGTTGATAACGCTAGAGATTATCAGAAGGAAAGGAGGGAGAACAGTAAAAAGGATCCATTTTAGAATCTATAAAACAGTACACTGTTTACATTCGCAAAGCTAAAGGGCTGCTTCCAGCGCCGAGAACTTTCCCTGTGCCCCATCTTCAGTCTAGCCTTACTTCTTTCCAGATGGTTTTGAACTAATTCGGGAGAATGGCTGATAATACGAAAATTACCATTATTTTTATCCTCAGATAACTACAAATCAATATTCTTACATCACTCATGCTTCCTTGATCCTCCATGGAGCATTATTGTCGCTGTTTAACCCATGATTAAAAAATTTAAAAATCACTAGGCTACCATAATGAGATACATCGATTACTTTGATATGGTTATGAAATAATTGCAGTTGGCTTTTAGAATTCTTATTACCATGTTGCTTTTCTTTATCTTTTAAGCCTGAATAGCAGACATCTTATTGAAAATTTATTTTTAGAAGAGATTAAAGTCCAAAATGGTGGTCAAGTAAAATAGCCTATTAATTCCGGTTAAGGAGACTGTAATCTTGATTTCCCTGTTGTAGGAAACAGAATTTTGAACTGGGCCCCAAGGTTCCCACTCTGGTGTACACACACTTTGCCCCTGACAGGCAAATACTAATCTCTGTTCAGCTGTAAAGGATTTGCTCAAGTAATTAAGGCTTCACATCAGTTCACCTTAAGATAGGGAGACTGCCTTTGTGTTCTTGATTGAACCAGGTGAGCTCTTAAAAGGGACTGGGCTGTTCCTGGCAAAAGAGATTCAGTCTGTGGGAGGGATTTCATGGGCGGGAGATTCCCTGTTGCTGACTTAGAAGATTCTCTGTTGCTTACTACAAGGCTGAGGATTTGGGAGGCCAGCAAGGAAACAGGCTCCTAAGTTGTACAAGCACAAGGAACTCAATTTAGCAAAGAACCTCAGTGAGTCTGGAAGCAAGTTTTCCCCCAGAGCCCCCAGGTAAGAATGCGGGCGGGACCCCCAATGCCTTGATTTCTGCCTTGTGAGACCCTGAGCCGAGATGGCCCCCATGCTGTGCCGGGACTTCTGACCTCCAGAACTATGAGGTAGTAAACGTCTCTTAAGCGGCTAAATTAGTGATAATTCATTACACAGCAATAGAAAATTAATGTACTTGCTTTTTTTGTTTGTGTGGTTTTTTATGATTTGCAATCATGTTTATATGAAGAAAAAGAGGAAGAAAATAAGTGGGATGCCATCAAGACAATAAATCTAGCTTCTAGTAATTTATTTCCAGAAAAGTGGGATGGGAGGGAAAGTGTATGTCTGTTGTATTAATTATGTAGCATTTTTCATTGTAAGGTTAGCTTTTTGTCATTTTTATTGCAGAAAATAGTCAACTTAGAGCATACCTGTCATAGATGAGGCTTCGTTTCTTGATATAATTGTTAGTTGCACAGTATATTTCACTAAACTGTAGAAGTCCGTTGTCTTCAGATTTGTTCATTGTTCTCACAGCTGTTTCCTTGCTGAATTGTTCCTCCCACTTGAGACAGTAAATGCAAGAAATGAAAGGTGATGTGTCTCAGAACCTATGGTTAATACACAAGTGCTCACTATTAACGTATTTTGAATACATGCAGCTTTGAATTGGACTTCTGGAAGATGCATATTGTGCTTTCACAAAATAGCCTGTTTGGCAGCCCCAACTAAAAATGTGGAATGCTTTTAAATGTTGGAAATGTGGGAATTTTTCCAAGAAATTAAGACCTAGAAATAATACGTGAAACATACAAAGAAGGCAGGTGTAAATTGTTAGCCGTTACCCAAATGTTAGCATCTTTTTGGTTGTATTGTTTGTATGCCAATAAGTGCTTTTTTCTTTTGGAGAATTTGGCAAAACTTAAATACTGTGTCCTATGATGTCCATATTGGATTCCAGCAATTCATTCCTGCAGGTAGACAGCGCGGTGTAGATGTAACATTGTGTGTGTTTATCTATCACATACCTTTCTTTTCGTATTAAAAAAAAATGGTTGGAGTTGTTGGTGGAGGGAATTGGCAGGAAAGAGAAGAATGGGGGATTGCCTTTAAATACTGGAGAAAGAGCCACTGGTTATGTGAGGCATTGTGTAATGGAAAGCTTTGAAATGGTAGACCCAGCTTCATTCTTAATAGCTTTAACACTGGGGGCAAATGTCTCATTTGTACAATGAAGAGATTGGACTGAACTGTACCATGTGTAAGGTTCATTGCAGTTCTGAATTGTATACTTCAGATTTTTAAAGTGAATCAAATTTAACATTTGAGCATCTGTCATATTAAGTAACTCGATCCTCATAACAACCATATAATGTAACTGAAGAACTAAGTGAATAAGTAACTTGCCCAAGGTCATCCATCTGGTTGGAAGTGAGAAGGCTGAGATTTTAACCTAGAATTTAGAAACTGCTGTAACTGCCAGAACTACTATGCTGTACTCCCTCTGGCCATCACGAGAGCCAGTCATTGTGCGAGGGAAGCCTCTGTGAGCAAGTAATGATGTGTGAGGCATGGGTGGCAAGTGGGGATTCTTTATTTCCAAGTTTTTAAAAAATTTCTATATAGACAACTTTATGCTCTGTTTGCTATAAATAGCTTTTTTTGAAGACTAAACATTTTAAAATATTCTTTAGAGAGCTCATTGAGAAAGGTGAGTTCCATTATATGCCAACCATCTTGCTGTCTTTAGTCTTCCTTTAAATATTAACTAAATTGATTTAGCTATGCATTCAAAAAAGTAATTAGTCAGAAATTTTGTCAGTTTGCCCAACCTCTGTATTCAAATCTTCCAGCGATAAATAGAAGCTTAATTTGTCTATGGCGAATATTGACTTTGACAAATCACTTTCTGCATATTTTAATTACAAAATAACTATACTTAGCTAAAACTAAATCCATCTCTTTTAAATACCTGAATATTTTAGTTAGCTTTGAGTAAAAAGTCTTCAGTGACATGATTAGAACCAAAATTAGCATAAAAGCTTTTTAGAATTAAGAGGAATGGGAACACACTTATATGGTCGCCCTTGTTCTCTTTCCATGTTGACCAATCTCATGTGTTCTGAATAAATCTAGTTAAATCATTTGCTATACTAACCTGTAGACATGAATTTTCAAGCTAAAATCAGTGGCAGGCTTGGGATTTGATTGTACACTTCTTACAAGATAATGACCATGCTACTGTTTCATGGATGCTAGCAGAAGACATGACATTCCTGGATCAGAGACAAAGGACTTAATTATGCAAGCAGTGTGAGCAGTAGCGTGTGTGCATTGGTTCCCTTTACACCTAAGTCCCACAGGGGCAATGCAGTATGTACCAGATGGATGCCATGCACTCAGTGGGTTTACACTGAACTTTTATAGC